GGCAGGGGTAGGCTCAGGGGCAGGGGCAGGGGTAGGCTCAGGGGCAGCGGCAGGGGTAGGCTCAGGGGCAGGGGCAGGGGCAGGGGCAGGGGCAGGGGCGGCAGGAGCAGGAGCAGGAGCAGGAGCAGAGGCAGACAGATCTACAGAGCTAGTTCTAGAACAGCTAGGGCTACCAGAGAGAAACCTTATCTTCAAAACCAAACCAAACAACAACAACAACAACAGCAACAACAAAAAGAGCATTACTCTTAACTGCTAAGCTATCTCTCCAGCCCCAAGAGGACTGAGTTTTGAGGCCAACCTGGACTACATAGTAAAATATTATCTCAGGCTGTTCTCCAGCCCCCACCACTTTTGCCCAAACAAAAACCCTTTCAGTTTCAGTAGAGTCACAGACTGTAGTGACTCCTACTTCAGCGTGTGCTGGAACCTTAGTCAGGACAGGTCAGCTCTACTGAGATGCCTAGACATAAAGACAATCAGTACTCAGCAACTGACAAGAGGGCATGTTGTTAAACTTTCATACCTTTAATCCTAGCACTTGATAGGCTAAGGCAAGCGGAACTCTGTGAGTACAAGGCCAGCACGGTCTACACGGCCAGTTCCAGGCCAGCCATATATAGTGAGATTCTGTGTAGCTTGTCTTTGCTACTTTGTGGGTTCTTTTTCCCACCCTTTATGGCCCCTCCCCAGTTTCACCCCCTATTGTTGCAGGATATTTGATCACATTGTGAACCCAGAGATTGTGTTATTTACTGGAAAAGTCTGTTTCTAGTTGTGGTGTGGCTCAGCCTTCAGCACACTCCTTTAATCCCAAACAATGAAGATAAAGTCAATATGTAGAAGGAAGCACTCATGTTTGAAAATGATGCCTAACTGAGTGTCAGATAAAGTGATGAATAAAAGATTTGACAGAAGAGGGTATGCTCAACTTTCATGAGAAGAGAGGAAAGAGAGGCTACTTAAGTTAGAGCATCGGTGAGAAAAAGAGAGAGGAGGCAGTTAGTTTTACCTGAGAGAGGTGTACAGAGACAGGGTGCAGAAGCTAGACAAAAGTGAAGACAGAACAAGTCAAAGAATGAGAAAGAGCCAGAAGATTAGAACAGATTGCCAGAGAAGAACAAAGAGTCAGTCTCAGAGAGAGAGAGAGAGAGAGAGAGAGAGAGAGAGAGAGAGAGAGAGA